GTGTATTACTTGTCTGGTGAAGAAGAGAATTACCTATGTAGAGATACTGCTTGCAGCCAATGATGCATGAAATTTTTTTGTATAAGATGATGTTATGGGGTAGGACTGGATAAGTCTGACTTCTTCCTACTCCATTCAAACATGTACTAGGTATAAGCAAACTGATTCTGAATCAGCATTGGTTGGATTTGTATAATTATGTGTGTGTTGATGTCGTTTGTTCTGCATGTTTGAAAGAATAAATCAAATCAAATCTGAAGCCACCAAGGACCACCAAAGACTGTCCAGGAGCTCACTGATGCCCTGATCCAGGTCTGGGAGGAGATCCCTCAGGACACCATCCACCAACTCATCAGGAGCATGCCCAGACATTGTTGGGAATGTATACAGGCACACAAGCACCATACACACTTCTGAGTTGCCATCATGAAATTCACACATCTTGGTTGAGCCTGTGATTTTGAATATAGTTGTTGACTTTGTTTCCACTGACCGTTGTTTTGCCATTTTGTTCTGAATAAATTACACAGTGTACATTAGTAAAGGGTTTCAACTTGAATAATTCACTCACCAAGATTTTATGTATAATTTAAGTGTTTCCTTAATTTTTTTGAGTAGTGTACAATATACCAGAACAGTAGGTTCTGGAAATTGATACGTCTATCTCCATTCACAGCTTTATTAATCTGCTCTTGTGAGAGTGTGTCTCTGCCATCACTTTATTCTGCTCTCATGACATCGTTTTTCATCCTGTCTAGAGAATTGCACATTGCTTTGCTTGGTCAGACTAATGGTGAAAGATTTCAGCTCTGGGCATTGTTTTCAAAAATACACTGTAATTTTTGTGACACCTTCCCACTATTCCTATTTGACACACAGCCCAGCAGCTGGAGTTGTTTCCTTAGTGTGTGTGATTCAGCCAAGTGGCTCTGATGCTCTGCTGGGGGAGCAGGAGACTAGAATTTTAAGCCTATCAATTCAAATCAGTGTTGTTTCATCTTAGTGTGATCATGGGTTATGTCATTTTTATGTTTTTGAGTTATTAGAAGCAGCAGAAATGTTAGACAGTCCTCTTTGGTGCATGAGTGTTTGTATGTTTCTCTGCTATGTGCGGTACAACACCAGGGGTCTTCTAAGCTTTGCTGTGTCAGTCTACATACATGTAAGCAGCATCATCTTCACTCCATTATTGCAGAGCTTTTGTTCACCACAACTGTCAGTCTCTCTTTTTATCTGTATGTAAAAAGAGTGTAAGGAGACAGGGTTGCAGAGCAGTTATCACCTCCACCAGAAAAGCTTGTTATCATATGAGTGTTGGTTAGGTGAAGGTTTTGGGGGATATAAAGGGTGTATTGTGGCATAGACAGATTTCCTTCTCAAACTACTGAGCACTTCTCTATTCCACTAGCAGGCAAGAGTTGGTGTTTTAACTGGTTTTTCACATAAGAGCTGTGCCAGTAGTCTGAGTGTATGCAGACCCTCTTATATAAAAGCTTGAAGATGTGTGGTTGTTGAGGTTTCACTTCCAGCTGTAATAGCACTGAGGCTTTTCCAGATGTAACACAATCTACACTGACCATAATTGCATCCCTATAGACACTGACAGATTATCGTGCTGTATTGAACTCATATTTGTATGTGGTTATCTGAATACTCTGAGGATCATAACCAGGCTAATATAAATCATTACAGATGGAGAGACAGGAGAGCAGTATGGGTCCTGTAATGTGTCATTCTGTAGGGGGTTATACTGTGTACTGTGTATCCTTCATATAAAGTACAAGATGTGAAAAAAGAAGTAATGGATTATTTCTCAATTAACTTCAAGTACTACTGAAAACACATTATATAAACAGTGACTGTGTCATTTTAAAAACAATGGCAGTATTACTGGAATCTACAGTATTTAGCAAGCTGGATGTCAGGAGCTATAGTTAAAGTCTGGGAAGTTTCAGTCTCCAAAGCTGACAGACCACCAGTGTCAATGACGCGCTGTGCTGCTACAAACAACTGCTCCCTGCTTCATGTAGCTGTCACAAGACATATGTAGTGTGTGTAATAATGCCTCTGCTGATATGTCTCTCATGATCCTGATAATCAGAAAAAAAGCTAAACATTGGGCCTAAGTCATTATCTAATCATGTTATTGTCCTGGAAAAGTAACTTCAAGACAAGTGACAAAAAGACTGTGGAGATGAAATCACAAACTCATCATCTGAGTTGCACAGCTACTTCAGTCAAAAACAACCCTAGAAGGACCTGACCTGATATTATGAAAGAAGAAGAAGAATGATATTGTACAACTACACAGCCTCGGTCACAACATCTGTTAGAGTGATGACTGACCGCAGACGTGACCAGATTATTAGACCAATCTATTGGGACTTAGAAAAAAATGGCAACCTGTCTGGTGGATGCTGGGCTGACCATGGCTCTAGTTTTCTCAAAATAACAGCTATTTTAAACTTGCCATCAATTACGTGTAAGCATCAATGCATACCTATGCAATGAAGGGGTTTATGAGTAAACGAAGGCTGCTGATGGTCGTACGTGCACATCTCCCAAATCTCAACTACGTGTTGTGCAAAGCTGCACATCCTGCTTTCATTAAAAACATTTGTACAGCTGTAAAACACTATCTAATTTAAAGTATATATACCTGTGTTTGTAGAACAAAACAGAAGAAAACAATAACAGACCATATTTTGTTCATTTTATTTCTGTAGGCTCAGCTGCATAAAGGTATATAAGTAAACAACTCCAAGACTTTGATACTGACAGTTCAGAAAGGAAAATACTGTGATTTTAGACAAAATAGAAAAAATAATAGGCCTACATTTTAATGTAATCACTTTAGATTTCCTGACTTAACGGTCTGTCTGTCTGTCTGTCTATAAGTGTCTTTCATCGTAAAATTTTGAAACAAAGGTGTTTCAGGAAAGAATGGATCAAAACTAATAAGATGCACGTTTAATATAGTTCCCCAATTTACACACACAAAATGGTGTTTTAAATCAGCCTATGAAATATATAATTACCAATAATTAAAACATGTAACTCATCAAATTAAAAAAGCCTTACTAAATAAAGTTTTATGAATTTAAATATTTAATTTCTGTAATATTGTCAGGTTTTTACATTTGCATTTTTAATGTGCGAAGGAAACTTTACTGAAGAAGGTACTGTTTTTACATTATTTGATTTTAATTGCAGTTGACTGTTATCCTGCACAGTTTTGTTTAAACCAAAAGCAATTAGTGGTTAACTTGTTTACAGTACATACATTGTCTGCTGTTCAGACACCACGTTCAGTATGCCACTTAGTATTTAGCACTTATTACCACTCTTGTGAGTATGCTACCTTTTAAAATTAAAAACCAGAGAAGGGTAAAAACATGCAGGGCTGACACTGATGTAAGCTAAGGACTACAGTTAATAAAACTGATAATGGATGTGTTAGATTTACAGTACAAGTTCAAATGATCATGCATTGACAATAATTAATACAGTAGTATTGGCAGTGAAGAAGCAGTGGAGGCCCCCAAATCAAATTTTGCTCAGGGCCCCACAAAGACTTGGGCCAGCCCTGTGAGGCTGTGACAGTTTGACAAAGAATTAGCAGATCTTATTCCACAGATCATGACCATCCTGTTTTGATACAGGCATAGGCCTAGTTACAATTTGCTATTTCAAATTTGCTGTGCAGTAGGGCTCTGCAGCTGGCGCCTTTGTTGCAGTTCCTATCAGTTGGCGATAGATGTCAGTAAAAAATATTGATTACTTCATGCATCTTCTTTTAGCTGTTTCATCAGAAAAGTGACCAGTTGTCCGCATTTATTATGAAGGCAGGTTCGTTTCCCTTTAATTTTGAACCTTAACGCCCTTAATTGACACCACAGGCTGCTCTGACCGAATTTATCTGTTTCCATATTTAAATTTATTGCGGGGCCCAAACACATGTGTGCGGAACAAGTACTGGACCTAGAGAGAGAGGGGGGGAGAGGGAGAGAGAGAGAGAGAGAGAGAGAGAGAGAGAGAGAGCAAATTAAAGAGTGTTATCAGCCACAGAAGGAGAGGGGAGCACACACACTGGGGAGGGTTTTTAAAATATCCCTTTTTATGGTTGTCGGATCATAAACACTCGAGGACATTAGAAACATGCGCCTATTGGGATTATCTCTTTTACTGTCGTATCTTCTCTACACCAACCTTGCCAACGACATCAGCCACAGCGACTATGAGGATTACTACGAGCAGGAGCAGATGGACGAGCCGGTAAGCTTGAGGAAAAACGACCAGAACTTGTTTGAAGTGAACCTGGGTGGTTTTGCGCGTAGCACGTTTCACCTGATCCTGCCAGTGAGGGCAGAGAGAGACCACCAGGGTCCTTCATGTGGTTTTAGAGGGACTCTTGATTTGTTAGTTCAATATTCCGTTATTGGCAAACACCTGATTACGTCTTCGGTATAAACTATGAAGGAACCAAACCAGAGTGGAGAGTAAACCCTCTTTCACTTGGGGATCCACCTGCTGAGGTTGGCATAAATCCTAATGATGTAAATTCATAGTGTAGGCTATATTAAGTTGGGTCTTTGTACAACATGGGCTACAATATTGCTACAATGAACACGGGCTTTAAAGATCACTGGTATTAAACCCAGTCTAAGCACAGACTGTGGCTGCTTCTACAAACCAGTATTCCTGTGTTAAAAGGGAACATCACCAGTTTAACCATGAAGTTCAGTTTACTCATCATCAGTATTTTTGTAAACTACAATAATTTTTAAGACAACTGATTCATCAGGGTTACCTCATTTCTCCATTATGACCTGGATGTGAGGACTGAGCATTTAGAAGACAGGTGGGTCGAGCTGCTACTGATTCAGTTTTGGTACTTGACCTATACACAAGAATAAAGTAGGATATCTTTGCTGCTTAGATTTTGATAAACTTTTTTTATTAGTTTTCTGAGATTCCCCAATTTTATGATAGCAAAATATTAAATTTCTTGAATGCTTCTTTAATTTGTTAAAGCCAAAGAACAGAACATACTGCAGACACAAACATGGTGCTTCATCAGTATGTAAAATCTGCAGCTGCTGAGAATAGACCATTTTTATGCATCAACAGGATGATAAATGAGATTTTATTGTAAGTGTGCTTTGTTCTGAATTATTAAAACCTTTGAACTGAAAATTACACTGCTATCCCCAGGAAATGTGTCAGTATCCCCTTGATGTGTTCATATATCTTGGGAAAATACACCAATGTGGCCAGAACCTGCTCAAACATGCACTTTATTTAGACCAGTGTGTCTGTTTACATAAATGTACACAAATCCCCCACAATGTACAGTAAATAAATGCCACTAAACTGACCTGACAGGGCCACTTTCTCCCTCTCACTCAATTTTTTCCAGTTATCTCTCTTCACTTCCCCTGGTGTGTGTGTGTGTGGCTTTGGACAAGTGAAAACAAAAGAGTGAGAGCTCACAAGCCAAAGCCAGATCTCTTTGAGTGTATTTGCTGAACTGATTATAGTCATCTGCTTTGGTGTGCAGGATATCATTAAAGGTTTAGGCCATGTTTTTTCTGCTGAGCCTCTGGATCTAATAGGTCAAGGACACAAAGAGGTACACATACACAGATGTCATGTATCACATTTTTAACTAGGCCTTTATTGGTAGGTAACACTGACATTAACTGTATTTTATTTAATGGTTATTAGACATCTGCAAAGTGCTATATTATTAGTTTAACTGATAAACCATTCAAACATACTTTTCTTTAATGTAATGCCAGCACAGCAGATTTGAATGGAGCTGAACTAACTGAGAAACTAGATGAGAAAGGAAGGGAAGCAGTGAAAGAGGGAGAGAGAGTGAGAAAGAGAGAGAGCAGTTTTCCAAGGGGGAGGATTAGCCTGAGAAAGAGCCAGTGAATGCAGGTGTCACGGGGTCAAGTGTGTGTGTGGCGTGGCTTCCACAGACTCAGGGCTAGGGTAAGGGGGGATAAGTGCTAAGTAGTAACATGCAGCCATTTGATCACAGTGGACTCTTAATTGGAATGATGAGCTTCTCTCAGCTCCTGTGTTCAACCTTTAACACCTTCTTAGAACCCTGTTCTGAGGATTTTAATTAACAACTCATACCAGCTCATCTCTGCTCTTAGGGTAAAAACAAAAAAAATATATAATACACATGGGTAGGAAAGGGTTTTCAATCTTCATACTTACTTGTATAAAGCTTCAGATGAGTGGTCAATTCTATTTTGTTCTGCTCAGTGGAGAAAAGTATGAGGGTTTAAGACAGTGAGTGAAGTATAAAGTGTATATTTTACACATCAGTCCTTGTTTACAAGTGTCCATGGAAGTACTACTGCATATGTGAAGAACAGTTTCTTTAAAGACCCACTCTGCTTAAAGATGTTTATTCTTATTTTCATAACCCATAAATATCATCCCTCCACTATACTGACTGTTGTAGGTGCAGACTGTAGTTTGTTATTAATGGGCTGTTTTCACATTCCTCTGCTGAAGGGGGTGGATTTTGTTTGAAAGAGGCTCCAGCAGACTGAATTTGTGACACCACAACTTCGGACAGCCAAATTTGGTTCATGGGTGAAGTTGTATCTGTTGACAGCAAATGTTCTGGAAGTCACATGGTCTGAACATTAACTGGATATGATTACTATTTAGCTAACATTATGAGATGGTGTGAGACACGTAGCATTATTAATAGCTAGTTAGCTATGGTTTTGGCTTCTGGTAGCAGTATGAGTGTTCATTAGCTAGCTGCTAATAACGCAAGCTCTCAGTCTTCTGTTAACATTACTAGCCCTTTCATGCATAGTGATCACTACAGTGGACAGCTATTTAAAAGCAGTTTTTTTGTTTGTGCTTGGGTTCTGATTGGATAGTTGTATATTTTCCACTTCAGTGGACGCTAGTGTGTCATTCCATACTCTGCCACCCACTGCTCAGCCAGTTCTTATACCCAAGATAGCCAACGGAAAGTCAGAAAGGCTGCCTAGCTTAGGAATATCTTGCCAATCATTTTATAGGAGGAGACCCTTGGAGGTAAAAAAAAAAAACATATTGTTAAATTTTCCAAGTATTGATTTTATCTTGGGAGGAAATTACAATGAATCGTCTATCCACTAAATTGCACATCATGCATCGCTGGTTTTATTGAAGATAATATAGTTGCAGTAATTTCCAAGCTGTAAATCAATTTATTTATGCTATTAGAATGTAATTAGCAGTTTTTGTAACAAAAACATTATTTTGTGCAGATAAGTTCTATTATGTGAGTAACAGATAATGTCTCTATATTTTGTAGAGGTCAAGTGCCGAGCGTGATAGAAAGGCCTACAGGATAGTGGAGCAAATTCCATCTGAGTGAAATGAGGATGATACCAGTAGCAGTGATGATGAATTGCTGCCAGAAAAAGAAGGATTAGCCAGTGCTAGTAGTAGTGACAGTGAAGCTGAGGATTCTGAGGGAGTTGAGGATGAGGATGCACCACCTAAAACAGCTCAAGAACAGGAAAAAGAAGTAATGTCTGGAAAACTAAAGACAACCAGTTTGAGGGAGACTTGCCTCCTTTTATAGGACAGTGCAGTGTAAATGTCTAACGGAACCAGTTGATTTCATGTATATATTGCCAGAAGATAAGATAGATAATCTTTTATTGTCATTGTAACATGTACAACAAAATTTTAGAGTGACCTCCAGTCGGTACAGTGATAGAAAAAACCAAACAACATATGAAATAAGACCATATAAAAAACTTAACTGCTAGAAAAATGAAATAAACAACAGACCTCTCATGCCACCCTCACACACACAGGCATATTATATTTTAGCAGCATTGAGTGTGGTAACTGCTGTTGGGTAAAAACTTTTCTTGAATCTAGTGGTCCTTGATTTGATTGCTCTGAACCATCTACCTGATGGCAGCAGTTCAAAGAGTGAACGTCCTGGGTGTGAAGTGTCCTTAATGATGTTCTGGGCTTGAGGCAGCAGGAACTGTGTAGTTCTTCCAGAGTAAGGAGAGGGTGGCCAGTGATCTCCTGGGCCGTATTAATGACCCTCTGGAGCATTTTCCTCTGAGCCACTGTGCTGCTGCTATACCATACACGTATACAGTATGTATATGTGTATGGTATAGCAATGGAGCACCGATAGAAGGACACCAGCAGTCTCTGGCAGATGTTGTTCTTCCTGAGCACCCGTAGGAAGTACAGTCTCTACTGGGCCTTTTTAAGCAGTCCAGAGGTATTCACACCCCAGGTCAGATCCTCCTCAATATGGACTCCCAGAAAGCAGAAGGCCGGCACCCTCTCCACACGGTCCCCGCTGATATACAGTGGCAAGATGTTGGTTTTCTTCCTCCTGAAGTCGACAATGACCTCTTTAGTCCTTGAGGTATTAAGGAGCAGATTGTTCTCTCTGCACCACACTATCAGCCTCTCCATCTCATCCTTGTAGGTAGTCTCATCCCCCCCAGAGATAAGCCCCACCACCATGGTGTCATCATCAAACTCTACAATGGTTTTGCTGTGGTGGGCAGGGGTGCAGTTTTGGGTGTACAGGGTGTAGAGCAGGGGGCTCAGCACACAGCCTTCTGGTGAGCCAGTCCTGAGGCTAAGAGCCATGGATGTGTATGGGCCCACTCTCACCCTCTGGCTGAATCCAGACAGGAAGCTCTTAATCCATATGCAGGTGGAATATGGAATTCCCAGGGCCACCAGCTTGTCCACCAGTTTGTGGGGGAGGATGGTGTTATAATCCACATACAGCATCCTCTGTGGAACTATTTGTCCTGTATGCAGACTGGTGTGGGTCAGATGTTGGTGGGAGGAATATTCCTAGGAATATTTATTCTTAGGAATAAATATGGTCATGTCATACCTCAGGTACCCAAGGTTAAGAATGTACTGGTCGTCAGAGGAAGGGGTCTATCTTGATTTGATAGCAAATGCCATGCCAGTCAACAGATTTGAGCAGATTCTGATGTACATTCATGTACTTGAGAAAACGTTCCATTCAGCAATTGATTGTGAAGAATTTCAATCAATTGATGAGCAGATTATTCCCTTCAAAGGCCACCTCAAGCAAGATATTAAAACAAATAAAATAAAACAAACCTTGGGGTGCAAAAGTTTGGGTCAGAGCAGGGGCCTCTGGATACATGTACAGATTTGAAGTATATCAGGGTTCATCGAAAACCTGGTCAGATCAGTGAATTGGGAATGGCTACAGATGTAGTCAT